TGATGTGCGGGGTGGTCGACACGGCGGAGGACGTCAGGATACTGAGGGCGGCCGGGGTGGTGGAGAACAGGATGAAGAGCGAGGGGGAGGCGGCGGAGATGTGGGTCGGGATGAGCAGGGGCGTGGGGATGAGGAGGGTGGGGTTTCTGGACAAGGTGACCAGGGACGTTAACGAGTACTACGGGAGCATATGGAGGGTGAAGGCTAGGGTTTTGATGAGGAAGTACGTGGTGGAGTCTTGGCAGGTGCTGACCTTTTTCGGCGCCGGGCTGCTCTTGGTGCTGACTTGCGTGCAGACGTTTTGCTCGGTCTACAGCTGCGGCGCTCATCTGGCCAAGATTACTAACGTGGGGGGTGATTAGTTCTTGAGGTTTGTGATTTTGTAACTATGAGTTTGGTCTTAATGTGTGGTGTGGTTCCCTCCCCTATTTTTTTTTCTTTTTTATTTTTTGTGAGGAAATGTGTGGAGTGGTTTTATGTTGTATAAAGTGAGGTATGGGTGTTTGAGTGGAATTGAAAAGAATAATGATGAATAAATTGAAGTTGTGTATATATTGGATAAGGGATCTATATTGATAAGCAAATAAATCTAGATGACAAAGTACATGTATAATGAAAGGAAAAAAAAAGCTGTTGACTCGTTAATAAGGACGAATATCATCAGATAGAAAAAATATTTTAAATTTGAGATCAAACAAGTCTTCTAGTCAAAAGAAGGAAAAAAGGAAAATTGATCTGAATTTTCGCTCAAATATGTAGTTGCATAATTTACTTTTTTTTTCCACACTAATGAACTTTTTTAAATATTTTCTATTCCTTTATCGGGCAAAGAAATGCAATTTTGTGTTTATGTTTATAAAATATATTAATTAAGTTATTTGTTAGAATATTTTATTTCACACTAATATTGTTTATAAGTGAAGGGTTATTTGCACGTAAACACTCCAAAACTTTATCTTATTTCTAACTTTAATACCCCAAAATATTCTTTTCTTCAAAAATAACCCAGCAGAGTTCAACTACTACATTGGACCAAGTCATCTTAGGGGGTGTTTGGTTCAATTTCTAGAAATTATAGGAAATGTTTTCCACCTAAAATATGATTTCCTTGTATTTCTTAAAAAAATTATAGGAAAAATTTTGAGAAATCAAAAAGTATCAATTTTCTTGTTTTTTGTACTTTGTTTGTTTGGTTCAAAACAAGAAAATAGCTCATAACTTTATAGAAAATAACAAGATTTGGTAGGTTTTTAATTAAATATGGTATGTGTCAGATTTCTGATGATTTCCTCTCATTTTGAGAGGAAATTACTTTTTGTAAAATTTGGTAGGTTTTGATATTTTATAGAAAATATTTCTGTAAATTTTTTGTTGAACCAAACACAATTTACAGAAATCTCTGAAAAACTTTTAATTACAAATTTACCATTGTCAGATGTTTTGAGAAAAGTTTTCTCAAAATGTGTGCAACCAAACAGCCCCTTAACCTCAAACATCGTAAACAAACAAAAACCCATAAATGTAAAGCATATCAAGTAAGTAAATGCAAATATAAATGGGACGAAAATGTTGGTTCCACTCACTTTCATATTCTAAATTTGAAACTAGACTATAACTTTTGTCCCAAGAAAAAGGAAAAATGTCAATTAATTCCTTGGGCATCAATATGCACTTTATTATATAAGCTATTTTTGATATACAATATTATATGTAAATATTCAATCTAGAATCCATACTATAACCTGAAAAGTCTTGCCCCCATCACTTTTTCCATTAAAAAAAAGTGAAAAAAGATTGCGAGATGACTGTTCAACAGGGACCAGATTGCAAAAAGACCAACCGCCTTGGACCAAGACAACTAACTTCCTTGCTTGAACCTCGCCCGCCTTTTCGAATCCAACCCTATTAAACCTCAAAATTTCATTTCAATATCTCTCTCTCTCTCTCATCAATGTTTCGCTCCTCTCTCCTCCGAACCCTAACCGGCCTCCGCCGGCAGTTATCTCTGACGGCGTCAGCTTCCTCCTCCGGGGGCGATGCCCGATGGCCGGGGATC